GGTTGACGAATCACACTGACCCACTAATATACAATGTGCCGAAAAACTGCCAGAAGTTAAGTCTGAAATCTTCCTTGATGCATGTGGTAAAACGGTTTACAATAATTTCATTGACTTCTATCGGTTTTCCAATTTTCAAAGATTAAAGCGAACAGTGGAATACTTTTTAAAATTTATCGAGATTTGTAGAAATAAAATTATAAATAATAAATTTCTTGATAGTAATGAGTTTAATAATGCTTTAAATGTACTTATAAGCATATCTCAAACACAATAATTTCCAGAATATAATATTTTAATACAAATCCAAAAATTGTCTCCCAAAAGTCAATTAATCAATTTAACGTATTTTTGGATAACTTTAATATAATGCGTATTGGAGGCCGTTTATGAAGCTCTTTGTTTCTCTGCGAGAAAAAAATATTTAATTTTACTACAGTCCACTCATCCTTTCACTAAGCTGTTATTTAACTAAAAAAATGAAAAAATATTTATTCAGTATATTTTACATCATTCTTACATTACTAATGGCCGGAATCTCTTTTTAAGTATGATACTTGTGTAAGAAGACCCCGCTCCTTCTTAAGATTACAAAAAGATACATTTTGTAACAGTAAGTATTAACTACAGCAAGACGATATCGACAGTTAAGAGTAAACGGGGTCCAAAAGAAGCATTATAGTTAATTATTTAGTGCTAACTGAGAAAGCGCAAAAAGAATTAATTAACAATTTAATTTAACAAAAGAACTTCAACAACTTAAGTTAATGATATGTATGAGCGTGCGCGCGCGCGCGTGTATGTGTGTGTGTGTGTGTGTGCGTGTGAGAGAGTGTGTGTGTGCGTACTTAAGAATGTGTGCGTTTGCATGTGAATGTGTATGTGAGTCAGTGAATAGAATTATGACTTTACACTATATTTGTTAATGTAAGATAAGGATCTCAATTTCATCATATTTTTTTACCTCGAAGCCAGCTCTGTAGTGTGTTCTTGCAAGTATGTGTCGCTGTTGGGTAAAAATTAATAATTTTATTTAATTTGTTATAAATATGTGCGGATTTTCTTCCAAACTGTCTCCTGGCGTAGGCAGTTTTAACCTGGGTTATAGGTGCAATATTTAATATTCTTCTTTTATTTTGTCTAGGGGGGTTGTAGGGGAGTTTTCTATGAAGTTTTAAAATCGCGTGTCAAATGTAGTTTCCTTACAGATAGTAGGCAACATTGGGAATATAGACTGACGGTTGAAAACCTATAAGGTTTAAAATAAATCACTTTAAGCAAAGATCTGTGAGCCCTTTCTAGTTCTAGAAATTTGGTTTTGGTGGCTCCACCCCAGACTGTGATACAGTAATTAATAATAGATTGGGCTAGCGATATATATATTTGTTTTATTAAATCTGCGTCGGCAACGTGGCTTGAAGTCCTAAAAATCCAAGTAAGTTTGCGAATTCTGCAAATGAGTAGGTCAATGTGGGCACTCCAAGCAAGGGGCTGGTCAATCATTACTCCAAGATACTTGGTTTTAGATATTTTATTTATGCTATCACATGAGCAATTTTGGTTAGTGATATTGTTACATGGGTGAATTTTTATTTGGAAGTCTGAATTTGGCTGAGTACTGTTATAATTTGTGAAACATATATAATTGGTTTTAGAGACGTTTAGAGTCAATAAGTTTTTGTCTAACCAACGAGCTATTCATGCCAGACCTTCCTGTGCAAAGCCATATACTTCGTCCCATGTTGAATTAGAGAAAACTACAGTGGTATCGTCTGCATATGAAAATAATTTACCATTGAGAATATCCAAGTTACGAAGGTTATTAATGTAAATTAAGAAGAGCGTTGGTCCCAGCACACTCTCCTGGGGGACACCATATGTTGTGTCGGCTAGCTCACTGATACAGTCACCATCTCTAACACTCTATTTACGATCACGCAAATAATCACACAGTAAAGCTAGGGGAGTGTTCCTGACACCCATTGATTCCAATCTGCGCATAAGGATGGGGACAGAGACGGTATCGAAAGCCTTCTGAAGATCAAGAAAAACTGTAATGCACTTTTTATTTGTATCGACATTTTCAGTAATGTAATATTTATTTAAGAAGCTGATTAATCTGTTATTTATTATTTTTTCTAATATTTTTGAAAGAACTGGATGACAGTTCTTCCAGTTCTTCAAAGTTCTTCAAACCACCAACTATAGACCTATATCAGTATATAGGTCTATAGTTGGTGGTTTTGTCTTTGTCTCCACCCTTATGTATTGAAGTGACAATAGCATGTCTGAGCGCAGTAGGTAAGATACCCTTTGCTATGCAGAGGTTAGCTAAGTGAACAATAACGGGGGCTATTTCTTGGCCAACATGTTTCAGAAATTTCGTTTGTATACTGTCCCAGCACGCAGCGCTGAATAACGGGGGCTATTTCTTGGCCAACATGTTTCAGAAATTTCGTTTGTATACCGTCTCAGCACGCAGCGCTGTCCGATTTTAATCCTATTAAATTTCGTAGACCTCATCCGGGTCAGTTTCTAATAAGACAAAGGAAGAGAGTGGGTGCAAATCACTAGAATTATCAGAAAGTGTGTCCCAATTTGTTGGACGCATTAAAATATTATCAGCTAGGGATTTACCAATATTAGCAAAATAGGCATTTATGTAATTTACATATTCTTTAGGGGTTGATTTAAGATGCGTGATGTCATTTATAGATTTCCAGAGGAACCTAGGATTCTTTTTATTTTTAATTAGTTGATCTCTTTCGTAATTCCGTTTTAACGTTTTAATCAAAGCATTATAGTGATTGCGATAGCGTCTATATGTTATTTTTAGAATTTCATTTTTTGGGTCACGTTTCAGTTTTTTCTGCATATCGTTTCTATTTCTTCTACAACGAAGAATGCCCATCGTAATCCATGGTTTTAATATGCGATTTTACATGGATTGTCGTTATTATTGCATTTGTTAAAATACATTGCCTCAGTTTATTAATTAACACTTCAGTGAGACTATTGGGATTATTATGTAACAACATGTCATGAAGATCCAAACATTAAAGGATTTGATTGCTTGTAGAAGGTTGATATAGGTCCTTATTTTAAGGGAATTAATTACATCTTTTATATTGGATAGTTTTAGAAAAATCATGTTATGATCAGTAATAGTTGTATTTATAACGTATATAGCATATGGACGCAACATTTTTAGGTTTTATTTAGTTTTAAAATGAAATGATCCAAACAATTTTTGTTTCTAGTTGGTATGGTGTGTGTCCTGGTAACATGGCATGCATTGCTAGCATGTTTAAGTAGTTTATTTTATTTCTACGTTCGTTTATATGTATGTTGTCATTGTTTATTATATTTATGTTTATGTCTCCTTTAGTTTTAAATGTTTTTATAGTTTTAAATGTTTTTAGGTTATTTAAGTGAATATCTAGCGAATATATGAATTTTTCTGCATCGGAAGTTGATGGTGAGTGATAAACCCCTAGGATAGTCAGGTTATTTATAGTAATTTGGAGACATGCAGCATTCGAAAGCAAGATCTCGGTAACCGGTTAACTTTATAATCCGTTTTTACATAGATTACAACACCGTCACACTGATTCAAATGATTTGTTGTTGTAAATGATGTGCGATTATTTAACTGTGGTATGGTTTTATTAGGGTTAATTTGGCACTCAGTTAATACTATCACATCTACCGAAAAGTTGAAGTGTGACAATGTAAAGATCATCAAAATTACAATATACCTCTTATATTTTGAGAAATAATTGTGAGTTCTGTGTTAAGTATTTTAACTACCGAGGATAAAAAACTAATAACATCTCACATACTAGAATTCGCCATTTCTATTTTATCAATCTCTGTAACGGTATTTAATAAGCTATCCATATAAAGTTAGGATTAGATACTTCCTGACGTTACACCTCAATTATATTATAAAAAGAAGGGGTTATTAGACAATTTTGGCAGTTTTTATAGGACACATTCATAATATGATTATATAAAGTACAAGTGAACAGCATTTTATAAATTATAACATGGTTATTTTGCATAGACTTGAGGTAATTGTTTATGTATGTTTGTGTTAATAAATATGTGTAAGTAAATTAAAGTAATTTTTTTTTTGGAACTTAAACAATAAATATTAAGTGTATAATTTTTCTATACCTTACCTTTAAAGAACGTCTTAAAATGTTTAGTATATATGCGCGAAGCAAGCATATATCATGAGTACAAATTGAAGTGATATTTAAAATATACACTAAATCTTGTTATCGTCAATATATACTCTGTAAACACCTAAAGGGAAAAATAGTAACCCCTATAGTGGGAAATCTACCTCGAGCACGACTTGTACCAGGTGGTTTCCCATTTGAAAAAGTAAGAGTCGACTATGCTGGCTCAAGTTCATCTGCTAGCCAACAGGGTCGCGGATGTCGCACTGTGAAGGTGTATATTGCCGTTTTCGTATGTTTCACGAGAAAGGCAACTAGTGGGTGACTTAACAACTAATCATTTTATATCAGCTTGATAACGTTTTATGTCTCGTATTGGAAAACCGACAGACATTTTTTCTGATAACGGTACCTCATTCTGCGATTTCTGGATCTCAACAGCAGCACCATCTACCGGGTGCAATTGTGAACCTAAACCATCCAGAGACCACAAATCCACTCAAACACTGTGTGTGTTAAAAGTTTAATTTCATCAAAATCGGTTTAGCTATTTTCGAGTTTTTGCGAGACTAAAGGATTTCAATTGATGTTTTTGTATAGAGATTATTAACACTTGTTTTTTAACTTAAATAGTTTTTTATATGTCCTTACGTTTGGGGGCGGCGCAAAAATATCCATCGCCTGTATGTTTCGTAGTCACAAGAGACGATATACAGGAAATTTTGCAAATGTTGGAAATGCTACACAGAGTAATATGTTATGTGGAATATTCAAAGCAATATATTATGTATTATATTTATAAAATAACTAAGCTCACCCAGCGATACCGAGCCCATTTGCAGAGCGTGACTTGTAGAAGGAATTCTTCTCAGTTTCAGAAAAACAAGTGCCTATGTACACTCCAACTTTCTTTCCTGAGAAATGTTCCGGGTTCACACCTAAACAAAAATTTATAGCATGTTCAGTATACTGTTGACTCATGTATTGAATGGTTAAATTCGATTTTGACAAATTTGATTATATTTCTATGCTTCTTTTTTCATTAAAATAAATTGCTGTTATTTTTTCTGTTCCTTTGCTTTTAGTCTAGTGGCTAACTTTCTCGTTGGTCTAATGGTCTAATAGTCTGAACTATATCCGGTCGTGTCGGATTACCATCCTATCGGACTATGAGCATGAGGGAATAGAGAGTGAACCTGTGCTTGTGCATACACTTGGGCACTATAACCCTTTCCTGCACAGATGGCTAGCCTACGTTGAGAGGGGCAGTCGTGACCGAAATTCGGTCTGGAAAACATTGTCCTTGGTAAGCGACAAAAAGAAAATTTTTTATAATGTGATGCAACCCACACTACACTGTTGTCACAAACTCAAACTGATAAGGCGACAAAACTATTGTTGTACTATATTATTGTTCATATACTCGCACTGTATTTAAAATAAATAACGCTTTATAACCAATGCAATAAGACATCCTTTTTGTATTCATTTTCATTTAAAAAATATAATTCTGTTATTAAACAACAATTTGACGAGCCTTAAGCTTATAACCGATGCTAGTTCACTGCAAAGTAGATAAATAATGCGTCTTACGTATATTTTTTCAAGAAACATACATATTGACGTTGTAATTCCGTAAGACTAATACTTTATTTGGTATATTCAAGATTATTCATTATATATAGTCTCCACCGCTTAAAAAGGGCAGTTAACATACCCGCATCGTATATCGCTTGGTATGCTTGTTCAAGAACCTTGCGAGCTATCGGGTCCATTGACTGTCCCAGACGATAGTGAACTTTGAAGAACTGGGCATCAAACAGATCCAAATCTGGTATTCGGCCAGCATATTGTGCGACTTCAGGATGATTGTAGTTCCACCGTGGATTCAATGAAACAGGATTTTTCTGGACAAAATTGGGAGACATTTTAAAATATCTGTCAAGCAAACTTAAATCAATTATAGTCTGATATACTCGTATCAACATTTAAAATATCTTAATAAACAATTCAAAATCGTTTTTAGTTTCATATTACTAAACTAGCTGTGCCCGCGGCGTAGCTCGCGTATAGAGGTTTTACATAAAGAATTTGTCGTTTAGGTAAGAGAATATTAAACGATTTATTTCATTACTGTATCAATAAGTGGTAACTAAATAAATCATTATCATCAAAGTTCTAAGTCGTTTATGATAGAGCTTCTGTGTAAACGTCGTTAAAAGTAGGCTTAGCCGGGGTATACACAAAAAGGTTACGGGGGCTACTAACGCGGGAAAAAGCAACATAGAGTTGGCCATGTGCAAAACAGTCAGTACTGAGGTACACTCCTACAACGCGTAAAGTTTGACCTTGCGCTTTATTTACGGTCATCGCATAACACACGCTCACTATAACTGGGAACTGAACGCGCTTAAAACTGAATGGAAAGTTACTTCTTAATAGAGGGTTTTTGGGCAGTGCTGCCAGATAAAAAAAAACTCATTCAGCTCTAGGACAACACAAAAAGCGCTAGATTTCATGAAAACAGCGCTTTAAAAAAGCCCTAGATTTCGCGCTAAATTAACTACAAACAAAGTTTGTGTTTTTTTATATAATCATAATAAAGAAAACAACATTATGTTTTTTTTCTGGCAATATTTTTTTGATGTATCAATACTTCGCAGGACATTGACATATAATTATGGCAATTGCTGTCAACAGTAGTTAGTACTGTACGAACAATAAAAATGTCATTAATTGTTTTAAAGTGCAATGTATTTCGCAACTTAGTTTCAGATGTCAGCATCTGATTGCGGTTGCTACACAGTTTCTTTATGTTATAACTTCTAAGTAACTTTTAACTTAGCTGTGCTCTAAGCAACTGACTGAAACTGAATAAAGCAAAATAAATGCGTTGCCAGAACCATGAACGAAAACTTTAATAAAGGGGATTTCCCCGCTTATAGTCGTCGGTAAAAAAATCAAGTTGATCATCCTAAAGGGGAAGCCAGGAGATCCATAGCACAGGGTGTCCTAGTTTGGACTCGTCTCCCATACTCTTTGTTTTGTGGAAAAAATATGTTTGAAAAAGATAAACTGCAATGTACTATTTGTGGGAAAAAATAATAAAGGTCATTATTATTATTATCGGTAATGTGGACTAACAGTGCTGCTATAAAAGAGTTAATAACCCGCTAGTCGCTAAAATATTGAAATGTGTGCTAAATACACCAAAAAGCGCTGGATTAAGCTAGGTGCTAAAATTTCGAAATGCGCGCTATACATTCCAAAAAAGCGCTAAATCTAGTTCCCAAAGCGCTAAAATGGCAGTACTGATTTTGCGTATATTATAAATACAATATCACGACATTTCATTGCAAAATTTTTATTTTTGGTGGGGTTCCGTTGTATGGCTTCGATGGATACAAATTTCTTCAGTAAGTCTCAATACGATTCATCGGCGAAAAATCTCAACACAGCAATTCAGAAAAGTTTGTAATTTGTACCACTCCATCTATTACGTCCTTTGTGTGAGAAAACATCCTTTTTAAATCTCTTATTGTGTTTTAAGTATAAATATATTAATTATTATGGAATGTTTTTTTTACACATAAATCTTTTTATTACTATTTCTGAGATTTTATGGCGCCATTGAACAAATTCGAACCTACATTTCAAAATAATAATCATTACTTTCGATAGAATTAACCAATTTTAATAAAACAAAGATTAAATGTAACTCGAAGATACGCTTTATGATTTTCTTAACGATTTCTTTGAAAATAAAAGATGTTTACTTTAGACGTGATGCGTTCATATAATAACAGACAAATAGACAGACAGACAATTCTAAAAATTATAAAGTGTTCTTATTTAATTATTTTCAGTTCCCCATAATGATTTTAGCCACCAAAATATATATACAATGTACAGAAAGAGACACAACATGTTATCATCATTTTTATTATATGTATATATTTAAAGAGAGATGGCGCTGCTAACATCAATTCTAAAAATAAAAGAGATTAATTGACGCGATTGATACATTATATAAAACGCAAGAGAACTTATAAGTCAGTGCCTGCACAGTAAGCAAAAAATAAAGTTTGACTCTCGCCAAAACCAACGCAATTGTTAATAGCTCTTTTAAAATTTGATTTACCACATAGAGTACACGGCGGTAAAGAATAAATTGAGTTTGTCAACACGCAGTAGGGCAGCGAGTAATATAATAAAAATTAGCAATAAATATGAAAACTCATCTACTGGAAAAAACCACATTGCAGTTGCATTCCATTTTCACAACACCACCATCTATCGAAGAAATGGGTTAACTATTGTGCTTCAGATTTAGTTAATAAGGTTAATATATTTTTGTATAATATATTTAATACGTTCTTTAATACTTTTGTTTACTGCGTTTTAGATATACATAATTATATCATTATTTTACATAATTTAACTATGATTTATGTGCATTTTAAACTAATATCATAATATGATATTAGTTTAAAATGCACTTGATGACTCAAACAAAGCCACCGTTGAGCAAATTCGTACCTATACTTCCCTACCCATACTTCAGAATATTTATCATAACTTTTGATGGAATGAACTGATTTTAATGAAATAAAGACTAAATGTAACCCGAAGATACACTTTATAATTTCCTTAACAAATCTTATGATATAAATTAGTACTTTATACGTGATACGTTAACAAACAAACAGACAGACAGACAGACAGACAGACATAAAATTCTAAAAATGGTAGAAATGTATTTAATTACTTATTTTTAGTACCCCTCAATCACTTTTATTACAAAAATATAAAATGTACAGACATCTGCCATTTACAGTTTTATTATATGTATAGATTATTAAATCTATACATGTAACAAATCTGTAGAAAAGTCTTGTCTGTAATTCTAATATATTCTTAAAAAAAAACGAGTCCAGGGGACTAAATAAAGGGTTCTAAAGCCAAATTAGTTGTTTCTAGAATTTAGGTCTGTATGTCTGTCTGTCTGTGTATTCCGGGTTCACGCAAAAGCGACTGAACCGATTAACATGAAATTTTAATGTAGGTATCTTATTTTCTTTAGGTGTAAATTTTCTATTATATCTTATTTATAGGCGGGATGACGGGTGTTTTTCAAATAAATACCATAATTGTAAATAAAGTTTAAAATATAGTTATAACCTTGGTAAAATAATTTGAAACTACACCGATTTGGTTATGAAAACAGCGCCATCTATCATCAAATGGAAAAGTAGTATATTATGCCTTAAGTTACTAATAAATTAAATAATATAAATAACTTACATTTATATGATTAAATAATTAAATTTTTAAAATTATTAAAAAATTCTAATGTTTATGTAGTTTTTTAGTATTTTTGTTGTTATTTTATTTTAAAAGTGTAAGTATTCAATAGGTAATAGTGACGTCTATCAAAAATATGAAAATTGATAAGGTACATATTTATTTCAATTACTAGTATATATGTAAAGTGATTAAAAGAGGTATATCTGCAACTGTTGCAAAATTTTCATTATCATTATAGTTTTGTTAAAGAGATTTTTATGTATGTCGTGGCCATATCGTAGAATTGATCATATATCATAAAGTAGTCTATCATTTCCTAAAGTGGTGTGGTAATTTTATGATATTTAACACTATTTGTTGACAATATCATGCTTGACCAAATCAATACATAGAAATCGTTTGAAGATATTAATAACTAAACACAACGTTGCTATTTCCAAAGATTTTATAACTTTGGCTATTTCATAATAGGATCATATGACAATATCATTAAATCGTCTTTCACCGCTAGAGGCGCTGATAGCGTATTTTTAAAATAAACAGAACTTTTCAGAGAATCGACATCACTTTATCCCTTATTGATATATTAAATAAATGTTAGCTTCTATTGCTGATATTACTAGATAGTTTGGTTTTGGCTTTCATTATTTCATCTAATATTAGCGCCACCTACTTACTTCTAAATAAACTAAAATGGCAAGTCATTGATAAAATGAAATAATACAATGCTATTGAATGTACAATGTAAATAATTGAATCATTTACATTACATTCATCCCGCATTGGAATCAGCGCAGCAACACTTTTTTGACCAAAAACTCTGCGACCTGTGCCCAGTAGTAACATGTATGTAAGCTGCTACTTTTTTACTTTTTATGGGACAGTATATGCTGTTTTTATTTCATTCGTGTTTTCGGGTATGTTACTTTTTGTGTTCACTCTACCGTAAATATTAAGGGTTGCAAAGATGAGTTGAACTCATTATCATCAACCTATCAAAAGTCCACTGAAGTGAACATAGGCCTCCCCCATAAATTGTCAAGTAACTGGATATTTGCTATAGGTGCCACGTTTGGTAAGGCGGGTTGGTAACCACAGCTACTATTATTTTGATCTGTTGTCAAGAAGATGAGGTACGCCATTCGATCTCCTGTTTGTTTTCCAATGTTGCCTCTTACGACGGGATGATATGAGGTGGTGGATTTTTTTTCACCCCCACAACATTTTTCTACACCCGTTCATGAGTGTAGTGCTCCTCACGTTCACTTTAAATAAAATTTATAAGGAATAAAACTAATTTTAAGAATTTTATCGCGCTTAATTTTTACTTTTTAAATACCCGATGTTTTGGGCAAAATCACGGGATGGGCGGGAGAACTGAGGTGTTTGATGACCTGATGTCATAGCTAAAATAGAAAAAAATAAATGCAGTAGTAGTTTGAATTAAATTTTATTAATTATGGGGTCCTTAGTAGACGGTAGCACTTAGTCATTTTCCCCATTAAAATTAGGATATTTTTATCAATAGCCTCGCGACTCATCATTGGTAGGATTCGGTGTTCTATTGCAAGGATTTGTTGTCTATCAGATCCGATATAATGGTTGGGAAGATAGTAAATATTAAACATGTTGACATACTTTAGACTTCCTGGAGCTTCGATGCTTCCCATCAACGATATGTTCTTTTACTCGGAACTTTTATCCAAGATTCGTTAAAAAACCCTTAACATTAGTTTTAATCCATGTGTAGTATTCATTATTATAAAACTGTATATATGAAATTTTCAAGTCTACTCGTAGTAAAAATAAATATCTACATCTATTTTATGGTGCCAAGCAATATTAAATAGCACCAATGATATGAATAAAATGTCTCAAATAAGCATTATATTACTTTGTTGAAACTAAATTAACTTTAATTAAGAATAAATCTAAAGAGTTAAATGTAAATAATAATAATACATTTTGATTTCAAGACTATTTACCTTTCTTATGGTTACATCGGAAGACACACACAGTGCTTCTAGACATATATATTCACGTGTTTCTATTGCATGTCTTATAGTATTTTTGAATAAAAAAAATTTTTTGACAGACATAGAGACACAGACACCGCTGTGACTCTAAAATTGATCGATTTTTTTTTAAATTTGGCATGGAAAAGCATTTTATGATGTTCGTAAATTCAAGCGTACTCGAGCGGAGCTGCGGATAAAAAGCTAGTACAAAATAAAAATTATTATGAGTTTGAATGAATATAGTAATTGGTGTATAACAATTCCTTAACTTAAAAGCTTTTAGAAAAATTTACTTCGAAAATATCCGCGTTATAAAATAAAATGATGTGTCTTACCTAGTATGAAGAGCACCTCCCGCCCTCCCTCAATTGCGTGCACTATCCCCGTCACCACTAATCCCAGCACCGATACTCCCAACACCACTAAACTAGGCAAGACACAGCACTGACGATAATACGACACGTATTTCGCCTCTACACGAGGCATCCTCAGGTGATATAGACTCTACGGTGGCTAACCGCTAAGTGAGCGGCGAGCCAAAACAAGTGCCTTTTATGCAACCGCTCTCTACTTAAGGAGCGGGCGACTGCGTCATGCGATAAAACATGCGACCAGTCACCGCCGGACTTACGCAGCCGTTTGTAAAATTAAAAACAAACAGTCGCGCAACGCCCACCCTCCAACCACGCAACCAATCGCCGAACACCGTGAGGGTGACAAACGACCATATTGCGAGGCTCACTATCATTGGAGAGCAGGCCTAAAGATATTTAAGAGAGGTGAGTTAGTAACATTTGTTTGTTCATTCCGCAATGCAACGGTACTATTGTTACTTATTAATATCTCTAACTGTTCCAGCACACACAGCCGCAGCCCTTTATTACACGTATGTAAGACTTTAAAGGAGCGTCGTTGGCTAGGTTGTGCCCAGTGTCCAAAAGATGTTTGGCAAAATGGGATTGCAATTCCTGTACGCGGCTAAATGCTCTTTATAACGTGTCTCGAAATTGCGACCAGTTTGAACCCAAATGTTACTAACTCACCTCTCTTAAATATCTTTAAGCCTGCTCTCTAATAATAGAGAGCCTCGCAATATGGTCGTTTGTCACCCTCACGGTGTTCGGCGATTGGTTGCGTGGTTGGAGGGTGGGCGTTGCGCGACTGTTTGTTTTTAATTTTACAAACGGCTGCGTAAGTCCGGCGGTGACTGGTCGCATGTTTTATCGCATGACGCAGTCGCCCGCTCCTTAAGTAGAGAGCGGTTGCATAAAAGGCACTTGTTTTGGCTCGCCGCTCACTTAGCGGTTAGCCACCGTAGAGTCTATATCACCTGAGGATGCCTCGTGTAGAGGCGAAACACGTGTCGTATTTTCGTCAGTGGTGTGTCTTGCCTAGTGTAGTGGTGTGTTGGGAGTAGCGGTGCTGGGATTAGTGGTGACGGTGGTGGTAAGACACATCATTTTATTTTATAACGCGGATATTTGCGAAGTAAATTTTTCTAAAAGCTTTTATATAATGGATTTCCGCAAAGTAACGCCTGATTCTATTAATTCCTTAATTGCTTTTTTTGATAATCAGCTGCCCAGATCTTAATGCTGCTGTATTTCGTATGGTGAATGTAAAGAACCGGAGACTCTTTTTACTGGAAACAAGGCAATTCATCTTAACCCTCATAGGTGAACACGCATCTGAATTTTGATTACTAACCGAGGATAGATGTACTCGTAGATATCTATGGGCCTCAGTATCTACTTGGCATGTGGTGAACCGTGTGTTCGTTTATCAACGATAAACTACATAAAAAATTATAAGTTATTTATTTTACTCTTTGAGTGGGCTAAGGAATATGACAATCTCAATGCCATATAAACAGTAACATTAAAAACCTCTTCCTCTATTTTGCGACCCTAAGAAGTGGATTTTTTTTTAATTTTTTTTGTGCCATTTTATAAGTGTAACTATTTAATAAAAAAAGGAATCATCAAAAGCGGTTCACGATTGATGAATGTATCGCGTATACAATACAACCAAAAAAACATGCAGATGAATTGAGAACTTCCTCATTTTTGAAAGCGGCAAAAATATATTAAATGCATTGCAATGTTTTTTAAATGAAGATAATCTTGCTAAGTATAAGGATAAGTATAAAAAATATATTATAATTTATCAGACCGACAAAGACAGAAAGACGGAGCGATTCGCACATTTGAAGTGACGCAAAAACCAAGCCAAAACCATGTAATTAAGTAATTACAATAGTAATATTAGCAAAGTTTTGGCTTGATTTTTGCGTACCTTTTATTGAACACACAGCAAACATTAATACTAAATAGTATAAAAAAGCCGGCCAAGAGTATTAAAATGGCAAGTCAGAGTAAAAGTCAATATACATTTTTTCAAAAGTGGCCCAATACAAAGCACTTTTTACAATTATCGACACTTACCACACGAAACTGTTGAAGTGAAAGTGAAAGTGCGAGTTGGACTCGCGCATGAAGGGTTCCGTATTATCGTAATACACGTTTCTAGTAGGAAACCCGCTTTAATCTTATTTACTTTTATTTGTATTACTTGTTGTTATAACGGCAACAGAAATACACATTCTGTGAAAATTTTAACTGTCTACCTATTACGGATCATGAGATACAGCCCGCTGACAGACAGACAGACAGACGGACGGTCGGACGGACAGGTGGACGGGCGGACGGACGTACGGACGGACAGCGAATGCTAAGTAAATGCTATTTTTAGAGACCTATTGTATGATATAATAACTTACCTTGTTATATAAAATGTCAGCAAGATCCTTTACATGGTTGGAATCAGGAAAGAGACCTGACATTCCGGAAATAACAATTCTTTCTCCGGATTTGAGGCATTCCTCCCTTTCGTGCAGAGTTACAGCTACCTTTCGAGGTGTCGGTACCATTTTTCTGTAATAATAAAGAATATTAATGATATACGAACTTTTCCATGAAGCGGTCGTACCTCTTCAGGCGCTCTTCGTCAATTTCATAATACGCGAGCAATTTCGCTTCGATACCCGCCCATACTAAAAAATTTATTAGCCTAATTTAGCTTAAATAATAAAATTAAACATAATGAAATCTATTTTAATACACTAAATGGGAGAAGGGACACGTTAGGCTATAATTTTCTTTACATAATAGCTATGGTTAAGTTATTAATTTTTAATAATTAAAATAATAATATTTATTTGCACATCATACAAAGTCCCTAAATAATAATAAAAAATGTTTACTTGTTCTACATAGCAGTATATCAGCTGACGCTTACATTAGGAAAATCTGAGCTGTAAACGTCAAATTACCAATGTAAAGCTTCAAGATAGATAAAAAAGAGTTCACTAACTCTACGTTCTCGATTTTTTTTTCTCATATTTATAGAGGTACATCAGAATATTTTCCTTCACCTATGATCACATAAAAGATAAATCGGCTGTTTAAATTACAATTAACAATTCCGATTCGAACACAAATCATAGTATAGTATATTAATTTTAGTCGAGTTTATCTATTATCAGCAGTGTATTTAGGTTTACACCCAGAAGTTTAATGCAGCAGGATTTGTGGAATGGCAATATTAGAATTGGCGTCTATACCAGAAGCGATCGGGATTACTGTTTACTGTATGAACTAATTTTAAAACTATATTATCTATAATCGTTGGTGCGTCTGGTATTGATCGTTTAAGTTCTGACTTGTTTTGTCTAGACGTTGATCATAGCATAGCGATATCGAGTCATACGAGGACTCTATCTATTGCGCTGTAGTCAAGCTATTAATAAATTAAACATATATGGACCAAAATTACTCATATTTACAATACATAACACCGCAATACATAATAACGTAAAGCAATAGGTGGCGCTGTGGTCGAGTTATCAAAAGACTTAATATTAATACCGTCAAACAATTACAGAATGATGAACATATCGTTACCGACCCACTAAGAAGAACTTTTGGGACAGACAGACACGCTGACAGACAAAGAGGTGATCTCGAATTTCGGCTTGGAAAACTAATGATACTCGAAAAGTGATATGTTTAGCACACACAAGCAATGCGACAGAGGTACTGCGTCAAAGTTAACTAAATTCCTTTTTATATGTTACATTGTGATTACAAGTCGAACGATACATTTATTCCAATTATTATTTTCGTTCACTTGTGCATCATTCAATTTACACACAATAGTTGTTCTTACATTGTTAGGAATATTTAATAATTGAATTGCATCGATTATTTGCATATGCAAATACAAATGTAATACAAATAATAGAAGAATACGATCAAATCCAGCCACAGTGAATGTACGTCACACGGGTTAAAAAAGCCCTCCGTGAGCGCCACCACCTGCCAGACCGTCGTTCCTACAGACGTGATGTAAGTGTAAGGCACCACCACCAATTGCATGGTCAGCACGGCCAATTGGCCGCAGAGCGTGTTATGAGTCTACCGCTCACCTCAAGGGAATGGGGTCCCACGTTGCGAGGCTTTCGGCCGCAGCCTTGAGAGCCTCCTTAGATTCTCCCTCCAGCTACCACCCGCATGAGGTCGACACATATGCTCCACCAACCAATACAATGGCAGATATAGCCAATAGGCAGTTATAAGATAATAGTAATATATCGCCATCAGAAAGGGTTTGTGTCACTGACGTGGAGTATATGCATTTTTCGATCATTTTTGTCTCACCCACCAACAAGTTGCCTTCAATCTTTCAAAGGTGGGAACTTTATAGAGATATAATTATTATGTTGTTATGTAAAACATCATGGAGGACAGACAGTCTGCAGCCCCGCAATGAAGGAACCCGACTTGGGCAAAGCTACTTAGTTTGTGAGTCAAACCAAGACGCAATGAGCGACATTGAGGAGAATAGCGACCCGCCAAACAACCATCGCAGAGACGCAATGCTGCAGAATGCAACAAGCATCAATAGGACTATCGTCGGGCTTACATCATCCCAAGGTCCCCCATACAGTCCCAGCAGACAGCACCACCCGCAAAATACCACAAACGTGTCATAGTACTATGTCCTGCTGTACTATGTCCTGCTCCAGGACTATGTCCTGCTTAATAATAAAGTATTGAGTATAAATTATATTACTAACATAGATATAAGTTTTTCTTTACTACCAAATTCTATGGATCTTGTTGTCCGAAATAAATAATTTTTATTTTATTTATTATTTATAGTAACACGCTACTGAGACGTCAGTAGCCAAAAGTCCACGTATCATAGCGCTATTGCACTAAGACATGGAGTTGAGTATGCTTGCTGCACTTAAAAGTACTACCAAACATACTCACCCCAATCCGAAAGATAGCCAACGTATCATAACGCTATGCGGTAGGACGCTGCCCACAAACGGTAGGGGTGTGCGATGTCCACGGGCAAGTCGTATTGCTACAACAAACCCGCTTACCACCGACACTAAGATGAAATATCTAGGACACATCGGTTAGCGAGTTCAAGTTTACCTCGGTCTCGGACGCTATGAAACAACCTACACGCCACTATAATAATCCTTTTCAAGTCCCATTTCTTTCAATATAATGCTTTTACATATTTGAGACCTTCCACATATTTGCTTTATTTCATAGACCATGCTATTGTATATCTTATTCATATGGCACTTCAAGTCATAACTCTGCTATCATAATGCTTATGAATCATAGAGACCTTCTATATTAATGCTTTGGTTCGTTAGACCTTAATATGATAAGTCCCTAATATAGGACTAGTCATTGTGCAACCTTACTACTAGCAGTCAATCAGACGACCACCCTTGTATGATATGTACAACCTTGGGTATGCGTCTCCGGCAACGCCCCCATATAAGGGAACATTACAAGAATACGTTCATCAACTTAGAAATTTTCCGATTATTACAAGAACACCTTCATTAACTTGAAAATTTTGATCCATTTTTTCTATTATATTACAAAATGTTATTTATCTTTATTATTGCCATATAATCGACTTGGATTTATATGATTTGATACATTTTGAATATTTTAAGCAGAATTTTAATAAATATAGAGATTTTTAGAGACAATTTATGCGTTTACTAATACTATAATATTCAATATTCCAAATGAATATATTTGAACTTTATACTTATTATATGCATTTTATTTGTTTAAATTATAATTTCTATGACATTTTTAAATGTCTCTATAATGAATTTAATTATTATTTATTATTAATATTTATGAAGCGTCACACCACGTAATACATGGACACGAGGCAAGATCCACAGGATCTAGGATCCAGGAAAATGGTAACGGTCACACACGGTTAGTTGAAGTATACTAACACAGGTATCTTGAGGAGACCTACGTCCTGGTACCCGCGACGCCTCCCAAATGATGGTGCTGATGCACAGGGGCAGATTGTTGGCGACGCACTTAAAATTTTTATTTTTATTCAATTTCATAAAAAATAAGTAAATTTACACTTATAATTATTTACTTTTAAAAGTTTAAAAACATTTCAAATGATAAAGCAATCTATGTTAAAGGTCCCAGTCTAGAGTTAATTCCACAAAAGTTTGTTTATAGATTTACTTAGAGACATGTGTTACATAGTTATTGGCTATGTAATATGAATAAAAGCTTTATATTAAATTAGTTACTTATTGTTCGCGACAGCAAAGTAGAGAAACGGAGTGATTAAAGACAATATTAAAAGTAAAATTGGTGACAAAACTAAGTGAAAAGTGCATTAATATAATTTTACAACATATTTATAACCTTTATATGTTGGTACAGAACATCGTTTTGATGATAGTTAAGAAAATAACTCTTATTGTACAAAAAAAGTCGACCAATCAGAGCGCGACGTATTGTAGAACTTTCTAGGCGTTTTTAATCAACTGCGTAATAGTTGATCACGAAAATGATGGAATAATTTTTATGTTCTGGAAGAATCATAAACATAATATTGAATTAGATTAAGGTTTATAGATTAAGGAAATAAAATAATATTTAGCGCAATTAGACTTATTTCCTATTTATAATAAAATTAAAGAATTAATGTACCCAAATATTATGAAAATTCGGGATATTTTGTGTAATAACCTTTTATAATGTTAAAATATTGAATATCCTTTATGGTATACTAATAAAGGACTAAATTTCCGATTTAACAATGTATATTACATTAAAGTAGGAATTAATAATGTATGGAAAAAATTGTAATTTAAGACAATTGTATAGAGAAAATGTTATGCAATAAAGAGGCAAAATGGACAGTGGCAAGCGGCTCACTTTAAAATTTCAAACGCTCAAGTCATTATTCAGATATTCATGTTTATTAATAATGATTGTTATTTTGAACATGTTAGTAGATATTTAAGATTTATAACTTTAAAAATGTTCTGTAAAATTGGTGTATTTTGTTGAATATCTTAATATGTCTTTATGTGATATCGATGTAATGTATATCATGATAATTTGACTTTGTTCCAATATTATGTAAGAACAATTTTTGAACACAGCGGAACAGCAATATATGTAAAAAATACTATAGAATATAAAATTAGGAACGACATAAATAAACTATCATTTGAAATTAATTGTGAATTAGTAACAATAGAATTAAGATCCTCAAAAACAATCATTGCACTTTACCGACCTGACTATGATATGAGTCTATTCTTTGAAATACTTACAAAACTTTTAAAACATTGTCAAAAGAACAGAAAAAATTATAATAGCAAGTAACTTGAACTTAAATGTTTTAAAATGTCAAAAATAGTCTATAAGAATAATCAATGGTCTGAAAAAAAGGAGTCCGGCAAGAAAACATTTTAAGAACGATAAAATAATGAGAGTGGTTTCGCTTTATATATATAATAGTTTATTAGAGGTACAGGAGGATAAAGACATACCGAAAAAG